CCATGGATTTTAAATGAACAGGTTGTAAACTACCTGGGGTTCTTGTTGCCGAAGTTGTTGAGGGAATCTCCAATGTGGATCTCGGCTCCATTGAGTCGGTCCGAGTCTTCCACTCGGTTTGTGGGTTTTGTGCAGATCCAGTCGCCACCAGGGGTTGATGTCGTTCTTTGTGGAACTGCAGGAGCCAGCCGACAACTTGCTGTTAGGATTCCCATCTATGGCTGCATATGCATCGCCAAAATTAAACACTGACGACTGTGAGGCGTCTCCTCTGAGGGCCAGGTTCTCTCCTGCAAAACAAACACACTTACAAATATGAAAAGTGTTATCTGGGCTTCTTTGCAATATCTCCAAGGACTCATCAAGAAAATGTGATTAAGTTATTCACTTAAGTATAACTAAGAGTCCTGCCAGTACACTCGACGTGCGTGAAGTTGCGAGGGCCCGATCAATGCTGCTTGCAGCTTTAATTGTTTTTTGATTCTTGAAATTTTTTATTTTCGTCACGTAACAATAATACTTGTTTTTTTCAAAAGACAATAAAAAAAGAAAAATGTTTATATATATTTGTGGAAATAAGATTTAAAGCTGCCACATATCTATCGCCTCCACATAGCGACTGCTGAGCCTGCAGCTTGCAGCTAACTCTGTATTGATCACGGGATATATTTTCTTACACTGGGTTTGCGGCACCGTTGTTCTCTAAAGAGTTGCCGATGTGAATCTTTGCCCCGTTGAGCCTCTCCTCACAGCAGTCTCCTCTGTTGGTGATGATGACGGAGGTGACGATGTAGGAGTCCAGCAGGTCCACTCTCCACCAGGGGTTGGTCTCTTCATCAGTGTGGGTGCATGATCCCAAATGGAAATTAGTATCACGGTTTCCATCAATAGCATTGAAAGCATGAGCCTCACGCACGTGGTCATAATGGTCTGACTGGGTCGCCTTTCCACGCAAGGCCACGTTCTCTGGGAGAGAGACGGTTGAAAAACACATAAGAGATAAAAAGGAAGATCGTTTGTGAATTGTTAAGCATAAATCTGTGTCCAGCAACGTATTACTCCATGTCTTAGTGTGATACAGACCATGTGTTTCAACATTATATACTCTTATTATTCATTATTACTTGTGTAATATGTGTCCTATTGGAATTCTGGAGGAGTGATTACAACAATAATTGTGAATGTGTTAGATTTCAACAATAAAATCAAATAGAACTTTATCCAGAGGGAAACTGCTGTTCAGCAGATGTAGTACAAAGGAGAGTGCATATACACAGTATAAGTATTCAGTTACATTTCACAATTATGGTTAAAACCATTACAACTATTATTTGCTTCCATGTGCTCCAGAGGTACATATCGACATGCTAAAGATACTCTGAAACTGATGCAGGAAGATGATCTGATGCAACAAAGAAATGAAAAGTGTTACCTGGAGTCCCCAACAGTCGGATGATTCAATGAAGAAGAAAAAAGCTTCCAAACAC